CCAATGTATTCGACAGTAGAGGAATATATCCGACGCAACTGAATCTTAAGTAATGTATCATTTACAATGTATCGAACAATTGAGTAATGTATCTGAGAGCACTGAAAATTTCAAAATTATTGTAATTAAGAAGACTTCCGGAATAGGATGTAATTAGCACGGTATGAGATTTCTCTATTTTATACAAATTTTAAAGAACATTTTACCCATCAATTTTCTTTTCTCTTATTATTTTACTCCTGTATTATATATTTATTACTACCCTTATTTAGAAGTGGCACTTCTAAAGGACTAACACAGCTTAAAATAATTGTACCTTGTGCTGAAAATGTGATGAGACAAATAAGGGCAGTTTTGGTATTGTGAGATAATTTCATAATTCATAATTCTACATCCTCATGTTCATTTTCTTAGTTTAATATTTCAGATGAGTTGAATTTTTCAGTTCAAATTTCAAGAAATTGTATCCCTAAATTATGTATTTTCACTTTGAAACTTCTAAATGCAACTTATAAGTATAAGGTATTAAATATTAATCAAAACTTAACATTGTCAATTTTGCTATTCTAAGTTTGGATTTTTCAGTTCAAAATTTAGAACATTATTATCCTAAATTTCAGTTTCCAATTCAAAACATCATGGCACTGTCATAAATATTAGTTTTCCAATTTAAAATTAGTATATTATATCCTTATGTTTGGTCTTGAAATGTTCATCATGTAGCTCAAACTTGATGATTTTAATACCAATCTTCCAACTTGTATATCTATGTTCAACAATAATTATATATGTACAAAATAAGGCTACAGAATAAGACTTAAAAGGAGGAAATGATTTAGACAATGATTGGTTCACATATAAGGTGAAAGGACGGCCAAACTGGTTGAGGTGTAGAGGAGGTGGGAGTGAATAGATTATAATTGAGAAGCCAATAGTGAAGGTGATGTGGCACCTCTCTATTTCCTGACCTTTTTTTTTTCTTTCAATTATTTTTTTTCTTGCAAAATCATCTTCTTAACTTATACCTCTTCAATTATATAAATTCTATTCTTAAATTAGAATTAATAATATTCATAACTCCCAAACCTTTCATATTCATAACGTCTCAAGCCTTTCATATTTGTAACCTCTAATTATTTAATGTAGAAGGTTATATTAAAACTATAAAATCACCCTAAAATTGTGTGTTATATTGTAGTGATCTTCAATTAGAGAATTAGTGATAGACATGTTACAATATTTTTAAGCTTTAAGGTGCATTATCTTTTGGAAATATGATTTCATATATTACTTTTAATTAGCAAGTAAGGCTAATATGTCAAAGCATATTTTTGTTTCTTTTGGATAAATTATTTTGGTTTGTTATTTTTATGATTCTCTTTATAACCATAAAAATGGAGATTCATTTTAGGAGTAATAATTTGTTATTATTTTTCTTGACTCTTGTATATAGGATGAAATGAAATCATCCAAAGATGGAGATTAATGGATTTTGAGCTATATAGATTGATTATTCTTTATTTTTTTAGGTGCTTAAGAAGTAATGTTTCTATTATATTATTTCCTTTTGGATTATTTATGTTTTGTCAAAAATGATTATATGTGTAGGAGGACTTATGATTAAATGTAATTTTCTCCTTATTCTTTATCTTTTTCTTCTTTTGCTTGATAATTTTTTTACTATTTGATTATATTTTGCAAATTATAGGAGATATATCTATAATGAAAATGGTTAGACATTCTTACATAATTTGATTTTACAAGGTAAAATAATTTGATATGTCTAATATAATTACAACTCTTTCTTTGTTGAAATCATACATTTAATATTATTTTTTGTGTTCGTGAAGATATAAATCTTGAGTTTTTTTAAAAAAATTATTTAATTTAGGGAAAAGAGTCTGATATAACCCTCAACTTTGTCATTTGGAGCTGATATGCCCCTCGTTATGATAGTGGCTCATATATACCCTTACCGTTATACAAACGGCTCACATATACCCCTACCATTACAAAATGAGCTCACATATACCCTTAATTTAACGGAAGTGAAAAAAATAGTTTTAAATTTATATTTTTGACTTTTAAATTTAAAAAAAATCATGTAGGGGTATATATGATCCTTCAAGCGAATTTCAAGGTATATTTTAATCTTTTTTATACATAAATTATTTTTTGAAGTCTTTGATTATCATTTTTTGAGTTTCTTATTCTTATTTTAATTTTTTCTTTCGTTCGTTAGTGTAAAGAGAAAATTTTAAAACCAATTTTTTTTGTGGCTATATTATAATTTAACACAAATTTTTTCCACTATATTGTTATTTAGTTTTTGTATTGAAAAAAAATTGGGACATCTATAATAAAGTTTACCATAATGAGGGGTATATCAGCTCTAATTGATAAAGCTGAGGGGGTATATTAGGCCTTTTTCCCTTTAAATTATTCTCTTTAGACCTCTATGTAATTCTTAGATAATTTGATTATATTATATTGATAACACTCTTCAAAAAATTTATTTCTTAATGTAAATTCATATCTCACTTTTTTGTTGATAATAGTAGTTTATTGTGTTTGTGGGCTATAATATTTTAAAACACAAAAGCATGAAATGAGTCGATGGATATTGATATGCTACTTAAAGAAATACGTACATATACTTTCATAGTTTGGTGGAGCAATTTTTACTAACAAAAATGATAGAACATGAAAATGAAAAGTTAATTTATAATTTTGAAAATACAATTGGTTTTATTAAAAATAAATTATTTATTAATGTGTAAAATTGCAGTCTTTAAAATTTTCATTTTTGTTGTTTTTGAGGAGATTTCAAGTTGTTTATTAATAAGTGAAGTTGCAGTCTTTATATTTTTAATTTTTGTTGTTTTCCAGGAGTTTTCAAGTTATTTCAAAATTGCGTTAATTTATAATTTTGAAAATACAGTTAGTTTCTTTGCTTTCTATTTACTTATAATAGAATATTTGTCTCAATAACTCTATTTTTATTGTCTTCATTTTCTACAATTAATTTCTTTATTAGTGTAAGAATGTACAAATATAACTCATATTATGTTACAGAATTTATTATATTGAATGTAATATTTATTTAAAACGTGAAATATACTTTTTAATATTTTTGTGTTTAAGCGAAGCAAAATTAAAAGAAATAGGAATTTGTATGTGTAATTTTTTTGAATCTTTTTTGCGTAGTTAATTCTCTTTTTTGTTCTGCTTTATGTTTATTTTTGAATTTATTTTCTTATATTCTTTTGTTTTCCCAATATAAGTTGTCCCAAAAAGTAACTGGATATCTGAACTTAAATATAATAATATATTAAGATATGGAAACTAACTAATTAAGATTATTATTTTTCATCATTTAGATATGTAAACTTATTTTTATTTAAAATGCTTTGTGTACAACTTGGTAGTGCCGTGTTCGTCCTCTAAAGTGTCACTTCTAATAAGGAGAAATATAGTAGTATTTTTTAATGTTTTATCGTAACGATAAATAGGGTTAATGAGAAATAGTTTTTTTATCTCTAAAGTAGAAGAGATGAGATCTCTTTGCACTTTACCATCTTCAGATTCTACTTTATAAGACTACAGTAAATATATTTATTATTGTTGTTGTTCACTATCACAAACAAAGATCTTCGCTACCGTGAACCAATTAAAAAATTGTGTTAAGTCCCCACGCGTCTATAAACTTGGTCCAATATGATTGGCTATTCAATATCTTTCACTTTTGTATAAATACCTATACTATAGTTCTTTCTCATCAAACCACGTCCACTATTTAGGCAAATTTTATTTTCTTGATTTGCCTACCACTGATTTCTTCCATTGCTTTCTAAATTTTTATTTAAATCTCTGTATGGTTATACATTTTTTCTTTTTAATGGTTTTCAAATTTTGTCATCTAATAGTGAAGAATTTATCTTTCAAATTTCTTTATTATTGAAATTTTGTTGTCTGTAATCACCATTTGTTTTTTAGGGTTGTTTTGAATTTAAAACAAAAGGGTAAAATCTAAATGGGTCTACAATACAATTCCTAGAAATCCAACTTGAAAAATTATGTTAAAAATGGAAAATAAAAACTGAAATAAATTTAATTGAGAGTTATCCTCCGTCTATTCCATTTTATGTGACACTTTTTATTTTTCGAGAATCAAATAGTTTAAGTTTGACCGAAAATTTGCGCATGATATCTTCAATTTTTTAAAAATGGAATTTATATATTTTTAAACTACGTAAATATCAAAGTATTATAAGTCACAATAATTAATAATTCAAAATATTTTAAAGATCTATAAAAAATGTAATTTCAAAGATTAACTAAAGAGAGAGTAAAAGGGGAGAATGGAAAGTAGAAAAAAGGAAAAAAAAACGAATATATAGAGAGAAACTGAGGAAAAAAGTCAGAAAAGTAATTCTTCATGCGGGTTGTTGTATATGTAGAAAGACACGTGTACAATTAATGAGGCACAATTAATTTTATAGTACAATTTGAAATGATTTATGTACAACTTGGTAGTACCGTGTTCGTCCTTTAAAGTGTCAACTCTAATAAGGAGTAAAATGAGTAATAATAATAATTCTAATAAGGAGTAATGAGTAATAATAATAATTGCAATGTTAGTCCTTGTAAGTAATGAGTAATAATAATAATTGCAATGTTAGTCCTTGTAAGTAATGAGTAATAATAATAATTGCAATGTTAGTCCTTGTAAGTAATGAGTAATAATAATAATTGCAATGTTAGTCCTTGTAATTGTCATTTATAAAAGTTAATGTACAATTCTTTTTGCACGTTGTACAACTAATTTAATGCAGTCAAAAGTTAATGTACAAAATTCTATGCATGCTGTACAACTAATTTAATGCATTGTTAGTCCTCTAAGTCTCATTTCTAAATAAGAGTAATATATATATCCTGCTTCAACAAGGGTATTTTTGAATTATTTTTTTTTTAAAAAAAGTTCTTTCTTGAGAGTGAAAATGTCATTGTCAGAGCGCTTGCCCCTTTCTTGGCTAGTCCAAGCGAGCACTTACAATGTGAAAATTGGTGAGGAGACTGTCATCACAACCGTTACTGACCACGAAGCTATCGCGATCAGTAGCATCTCGGCACTTAAGAGTGAATTGAGAACTCTAGATCCATTTGTTGGAATCGATGTTGTAAAAAATGGAAATCTGTTGCTGTTTCATGTGAAAAAACGGTGCCTAATTATTCAATTTAATCGCATGATGAAGTTGGATAATCTAACTGATATTCCTCCTTCTCTTCAAGAGTTTCTGTGTGACGAAACTATCACTTTTATAGGCCCAAAAAACATTAGCCCGAATTCTATTGAGTCATCATATATAGTTGGAAGTAGCAGCCAAAGATTAAAATTTACTAGAGTTGTAGATGTTGGTTATTTGACTGGTAAGCTTTGTAAGAAGCCAGATCTGCTGAGTAGTACACTAGAAGAGTTGATGGGTAGAGTTGGCATTGATATTAAGAAGCCTATCATTAGTGAACGTTCAATGCGTCCTGATTGGCAATCGTCTTCGGTTTTATCGGAGGAGGAGGTGAAATTGGCGATGTATAAAGTTCATTCATGCTATCAAATTGCAACCAAGTTAATTACTGATGCGACAAGTGCAACTGCAAATCAGTAGTAACTTGATCTGGTTCTGTAGTACTGTTATTTATGAATTCGACTCCTCTCCATGTCTTTATTTCTTCAAGTTCTTATTTGGATGTGCTACCATTGCAATGTTAGGTTGCTGAGTCCTCTCTTTGTTAGGCATCTTTTGTATTCTGGAAATCTATGGACATCCTTTCCTAAATAATGTTGGACAACCTTGCGTTAGTGCGTAACCATGCATCAATGTCAATGATACTTTTAAAGAAGACACTGTTTGGTAATTTTCCTATTTTTGATTACAAGTTTCTTGAAAAATGAACAAAATGACTTTCCTAATAAAAAATAAAAGTACGGAAATTTCAAATTTATTGTCTCCTCTCCACCCACCTAATTTTCCAACGTCCACAACAGTTTGTGTTTGTGCTTATCTTTTCATCTAGATTATTTCCCTTCTTTTCCTTGGTCATCCAGACATCTTTTTGTACCTAGGTGGCAAGACAATTTCTTCCAAAAGAAATTCGGTACTGACCAATCGTCTTATTCGGCATTGGAACCATTTGAACTTCATACGTGTTTTCTAATGCAGCTGATTTGTAGTAATCAGAGCAGTAGGAATGTATCTCTCTAATATTTTTGCTCTTCACAACAACAATTGCGTACGCACAATGTATCTCGTTATGCTGAAATCTCCCACAATTACATATTTTTTTCTCAAGGCAAACAATGTATCTTCGCCCACCTTTATACACTGAATAAATAAATTTAGAAGATGGAACAACCTGTGCACATTTGAAAGTTAGAGATACATCACATATCAATTAATTCAATTTAAGATACACAACAACCTAATGATAACTAACTCCAGATACACCATAGTTTATAAATTGGTACATACCTTCATATATTGATAAAGAAATTCATATATTGATACATAAAAAAAATAAAAAATCACATGTATCTAATACGTTATAGTAACAACACACTAACTCACATATACATTCAAACTAGAATTAAATCAAGTTGAAATCAGTAATGTATCATGATTTATATATGCATATACAAATTCAAAAATCAAAAAAGAAATTCACATGTATCTGATACTTTATATTAACATTACAGTAACTCACAAATCTGCAAACCCATTACATATACGTCAAAGTTTTAATGTACCAAGTTCTAACCATTAATGTATCATGACTTATCGATCAATATACAAATTCATGAATGACAAAATAATGATTAAAGCACAAGAATATGTGTTGCATATCTTTTGTTATCAGATCTTTTAACTCGGAAATTAAAGCTATAAAAAATAAACATAACTATTTTTGCCCAACCTAATTATAAAATAACAACTTTCAATTGCCTTCATATTTGGGATCTGCCATCACACAATGATAAGCAACCACCAACACAAAACAAAGATACCAAGAAAGGTGGCAAAGAAACCCAGGTCCTGGTTGTTAATCATAGTGAGATTTGTGTAGAATTCGAAGAACCCAAAAAGTACGATCTTCGATTTTTTCTTTCTTCGAGAGTGTCAGTCAAAAATCAAAATATTCATTATGTATCTTATCAAATTTTCAACAAAAATTTTAAATCCTACTCGAAAGTTTCTTCGCTGAAACAGGGACAAAGATGAACATGGATTTTGAATTGGTCTATTATTTTAGGATTTACATTTCTTTGATTGACACGGTAAAAAGGAATTAAATAGCATAAATTATGAGATTTTGATTTGATTTTCTATTTTGTTTCCCTTTTTAACGCAACAGCCACATATATAATGTATCACAATTAATATATCTAGACAACCAATTATGTATTCGAATGTCTGATATTTTAAAAAAAATTTATAAAATAGAAAAGAGTAGGAATATACTTTACATTTTTGAAGCAATAAATAAAGGTGGAACAACATTTTGTAAGTGTCCCAGCAATAAAAGGTCACCGACTACTTGCACGAAAATATCGAATCCCACTAATGTGGACATGGAAAAACCAAAGGCACTAAGAAAATCAAATCCCTTATACCCCACGTACTCTCACTCTCTTCCTCCCTCAGCAAACCCACGCGCGCCTCTTTTCTTCCTTTTCTTTTCCCTCAAGCGATTCCTTCGGTAATATCTCTCCAATTTTCCGTTTTACTTTTCGAAATTCATCTCAAATTCGTACCGATCTTACGCACAGCTCACCCAAATATCCGTCCAGAAATTTTGAAATTCTTCGTATTTTGCTCAGAAATCCAAGGATTTTTCATCCTATAAATACTTCCTTTGTTGCCGCCTAAAAATCGGAGCGCATTTTTTTCGGAGACAATGTATTAAGAGTGAAAAAATGTCAGAGCGCTTGCCCCTTTCTTGGCTGGTCCAAGCGAGCACTTTCAATGTGAAAATTGGTGAAGAGACTGTCATCACAACCGTCACTGACCGGGAAGCTATGGCGATCAGTAGCATCTCGGCACTTAAGAGTGAATTGAAAACTCCAGATCCATTTGTTGGAATCGATGTTGTGAATAATGGAGATCTGTTGCTGTTTCATGTGAAAAATCGGTGCCTAATTATTCAATTTAATCGGATGATGCTCTTGGATTATCTAACTGATATCCCCTCTTCTCTTCAGGAGTTTCTGCTGGACAAAAGTATCACTTTTATAGGCCCTAGAAACATGAGCCAGATGTCTATTGGGTCATCTATATCTGGAAGGAGCAGCGAAAAAATAGTATTTAATAGAATTGTTGATGTTGGTTATTTGAGTGGTAAGCTTTGTAGGAAGCCAGATCTGCTGAGTAGTACACTAGAAGAGTTGTTGGGTAGAGTTGGCATTGATATCAAGAAGCCTGTGATTAGTGAAGGTTCAATGCGTCCTGATTGGCAATCGTCTTCGGTTCTATCGGAGGAGGAGGTGAAATATGTGATGTATGAAGTTCATTCATGCTATCAAATTGCAAACAAGCTAATTACTGATGCGACAAGTGCAACTGCAAGTGAGTAGTAATAAGTATAACTTGATTTGGCTCTCTAGTGTTGTTATTTATGTTTATTTCTTCATTAGCAGCTCAAGTACGGAGTGGAAATTCGCATAAATCCGTGAAGACTCTGCATAGTAAAATTCTTATTTCAACCCATTCCGCATAATTCTTTGAATACTAAAAATGAAATTTATAAAATTCTTTTTTATTTTTTTGTGAGGATTAGATACGTCTCATTTAAAGGAATTCACGTCAGTGTCTAATATTTATACACAACAAACTTTATTTTTTTTGTAAATGAAATCGCATTCTCAGGCAAAAACTATCCAACATAAGCATCCAATGCCACCAAAACTATAGAATCAATTCTCTTTCAAATGTTATTGAAGATGGAATAATTTCTTTGAGATATTAAGTACAATATTTTTCCAACATTAACTCACCCAGTAATCCTTTAATTTTTACAACACAACTACCCAATACAAACAACTACTCTACTGTGTTCACTCCCCAAGACAACTCCCCTTATAACTCAAGGTTCCTTTTGATAAAGAAAATTTGCGGGACTTGTCAAGTTGATTAGAGCTACATAGAAAAGTTAGCTTAAAATGAGAAGAAGGTAAACTAGAGGAAATAGGTAGTAGTTAAGTCTGAAAACAGAGTACAATATCATAAGTATTTGTGAATTCGATAGTCGACTTTTAGATCACTTTATCATTTGTACAATCGCGTATATTTGCGTGTGGTTTAGGAGCAACAGAAACAAAGACAATTATTACATGGTGTTACATTCCCAATTAATGTTAGACAATCCTTGTGGAATCGTGAATGTGAATTATACTTGCTCCCTCTCTTTGTCTATCTTTACTTGTTTATTATACTATTTTGGGATGTCCGACATTACTTGTCCAGTTTATAAAACCAATGAATAATTTATCATTTTGTGTCTATGGAAATTGATATTGTAAATAATGGAGATCTGTTGCTGTTTTAAGAAGACAAAGATGCTGTGTAGTACACTAGAAGTGTTGTTGGGTGAAGTTGGCATCGATGTTATGAAGCCTGTCATTAGTGAAGGTTCAATTCGTCTTAATTGGCAATCGAGGAGGTGAAATTGGCGATGTATCAAGTTCATTCATGCTATCAAATTGTAACCAAGCTTACTGATGCAAAAAGTGCAACTGCACAGCGTGCGTAGTACTTAATTTTGTTATTTTAATGTTGTTATCTATGGATTTTGTTCTATCTCTTCAACTTCTTATTTGGATGCTTGAGATGTGTCATATTTTTATATTAATGGTTGTAATTAGGTTAATTGAAGCAAGGGTTTAATAATTGTTTGAATATATTTTCATATTACATTTCTGAACTTCCTGGATTAGTCCTCTTTCCAGATTTTTGAAGTTACAATGATCCGTCTTTGAGTAGTCATATACATATACCATTGTTTTATGGAAAAATATCTCATTACATAAATATTCCTACCATATTTACTAATTCTCTTTATAATTTGAAACAATTAAATATTGCCGTACTAATTAATAATTTCATACCAGCTGGGGCGGACCCACGCTGAGCGAATGGGTGTCGTCACCCTTTCGTCAGAATTTTTTTTACTAAATATATATATTAATACTATGTTTCGAGGGATATGTATAACAAAATGACACTATTTGACAACAATAGTCTAGTGCTGGTTCATCGTCCACTTTTAGTGTTTGAGGTTGTGGGTTTAAACTTCAATTTAAGCTTATTTTTGCAAAATATAACAGACTGAGCTTTAGATGGCGAATTCAAACCTCATTATAAGCTTATTTTTGCAAAACATAACGTACTCATTGTAAAATATGTGGTTAATTAAGTAGTATCGAACCCTAGACCTCCTCTAGTTTAAAACTAATCTAAACCAATGAGTTAAGGATGTAATTTATTTATAAGTGTGATAGTTTAATTTTTAACTTGCCTTCTATAAATATCGACACTGCTTACTTAAGTTTCATATATGACAATTAACTTGGATACAATTTATCTAGAACCCTGATTTTAACCCATGTATCCAAGATACATGTACATGTATTCAAAGTCCAAATTCTGATAAGATTCGTAATATTGTAAACACATGAAATGAAATAATTTACTCTCAAACTAGTGAGATTTGTGTCGTTTATCCTTTTAACTAGTATATATATGGGAAAAATTTGGGCTAAGCCCTAAAACTACCTTATGGGGCTCTACCGAGAAGAGAGAATGGACTTATATAGAAGAGTTCCATATGAATGGTGCTTCCTCCTTAATTAGTGTGGGCTTCTCAATTCTCATCACTCATAAGTGTTTAGACAAATCAATGTACCTTGAGTGGATAATCTTTCTCTTGTTTAAAATAGTTTATAATTCAAAAAGAAATGATCGATAGTATTGTCGAATTAACCACAATAACAAACACAATTGAAAATAGTTTATGAGACTTTTTTTTTCTCACAAGTATCTCAGGAGATAATTTATCATTTAGGGCTTGTTTGATATAAAGAATAAGGAATAATTAATTTAACATGAGTTTATCTCATGTTTGATTGGATAAAATCATGAAATAAATTATCGCAAAATTAGTTATCCAAAAATCGTAGTGTTTCTTTTTATCCCACATTGAGGGTGGGGTAACAATAATGGAATAACTTAGTTACAAGTTACAATCAAACGAGTCCCTTGAATTCGTCTTCCTTCCTCAAAAGAAAATATTAAAATAGAAAAACAAAAAATTAGTCCAAGCTAAGCCATTATATTCCAATTTATATGACTTGTTTAATTTCCTTTTGTATTCCGTTAAAAAAAAAAGATATATTTTTATATTTACTAACAATTTAACTTTAAAATCTCTATTTACCATTAGTGAAATTATTTATGTCATACAAATATCTATGACTTATGTTAGATCACAAATTTCAAAAATATTTCTCTCTTTCTTAAAATAAATATCAATTCAAACTAACTCATATGATTTGAGACAGTGAAAGTATATATATACATGGATTTGTTTGGGGACATTACAGTATATATTAGTTGTGTATTGGTTGGTGTCCCCATGAGTTCATGAGTCGTTCATGTATTAACCACATGCACTCTTTTGGGGAAGATGGTAAGCAAAGAATCTTTCTATTTATAGAAACTCAAACTTTTAAAAAATATAAAAATAAATAAATTAGTACTCTTAATTTTCCCAGACACACAAAGTCAGCAATAAACATTCTTCGTTTGTTGAAATGGGAAAATAAACATATAATTAAGATTTCCAATGCATATCTATTACTCTTTCCGTCCACTTTTATTTATTATGTTACGGTTTTCAAAAGTCAATTTGATTAATATTCAAAATTAAATTAGGTTACACTAATTTGATATTTTAAAAAAATAATAAGATATTCAAAAACTATACGAAAAACTATAAATTATAATTTTTTGCATATCAATTTGATGAAAAAATACTTCGTAAAATATTAGTCAAATATTTTTATAGTTTTACTCTAAAAAAAACTATGACAATTAAAAGTGGACGAAGGTAGTACTCCTTTCGTCCACTTTTAGTTGTTTACTGTATTAAAAATAGGTGTTCATGTTCTACTTTACCCTTAATACTATTAATTATTTATTTTCTAAATTATTTTTTCAAGACCTAAAACTACACATCAAATAATATGAGTATTGTGATAAAGTATTCATATTTTATTATTTTTAAGAAACGTGTAACGTCCAAAGTGGACAAATAAAAGTGAACCAAGTAAGTACTTTATCATTTTATAATTTATTTTACCCTTAGTACTGCATATTAATTATTTCAAATTCATTTCCCAGTAAGTGAGATGACTTGTAATAATTAGAGGTTATACAATAAAATTATCATTTTATTTATGCCTTTTTAAGGGTGTGTCAAGTTAAATATGAACGGAGAAAATAATTAGTTTAACAAGCTAATTAATCACATATTCACAGTACTAGCTAGGCAATCTTCATGGTTAATTAAGAGATTATATATGATGAGATGAGATGCGACTCCCACTATAATCCACTGAGCTCGACATAAACCCATTGTAATTTACTTTTCTGTGTTCATTTAAAAAAGACATGACTAATTTTGTATAGTAAGTTTCTTGACAGAAGAAGAAAAATATAAATTGATTTATACATCATGATTCATGACAATTAGGTATTAGCAACGTCCAATGAAGGTTGTGAATTTGTTATCGTCTGATCAGGTGATAAGTAATTTTTCATTTAATAAAAAAGTAAAAGGAGCAGATTAAAGCAGATAAGACAAGCCTTGACCAGCTTTAATGACCTGTCATGCATAATTTAAGATCATTATATGAATTTCATAAACTTTAAATTCTCCATTTTTTTAATACATATGCTAACAACATATTGAATTATGTGATACAAGTACGAAACAAAGTGAAGACTAGTAAAGCTTTTGTTTTAAGCCTCAAAAAGCTTTGGGGCCCTAAAAATTTTGTAATATTGATTTATCAATTTATTTTTACTTTAAAAAATATTGAAAGTTACACGGAAGAAAAGAGTGCAAAATCTTTATAAAAATAAATACAAATAAAATTGTTTTTGTTTTCAATGATAAAAATATTTTAGACCTTAAATTAAACCATTCAAATATTCATATTATTAGATAAATTTATTATGCAAAAAAATCTAACGTAGTAAATTACATACACTTATTAACTTCAAATAACTTTAATAATATTATAGGTATCAGATTCTTGTTATTAACTTAAAAATAGTATATATATATATATATATATATATATAATAATAATATTATAGGTATCAGATTCTTGTTATTAACTTAAAAATAGTGTATATATATATATAGTTTTTGACCAAATGGTCCGGATACAAAATTAAACATTTTTTTCAAAATTAGTCAAAAAAATGTGTACCAATTGTGTAGTGAACAAACATCGTATCATCAAGACTAATTTTAATAACATGTATAAAAAAAGATCCGTATCAACTAAGTACATTCTAAACGATTCAATGCTTGATGAATGACATGAATTG